TATATATATATATATATTTTTTTTTTAGACAGAGTCTCAAGCTGTTGCCCTGCATAGACTATTGTAGCATCATAGCTCACAGCAACCTCCAACTCTTGGACTCAAGCAATCCTCTTGCCTCAGTTTTTCTATTTTTAGTAGGGATGGTGTCTTACTTTTTGCTTAGGCTGGTCTTGAACTCATGAGCTCAAGCTATCCACGCAACTTGGCCTCCCAGAGTGCTAGGGTTACACACGTGAACAACCATGCCTGGCCCAAGGAAGATATATTAATGGTAAGTGAGCATATAAAAAGATATATATGCTCATTATATATCATAAGGGAAGTGCACATTACAATAAGGAGATATTACTATACTCCTATTATAATGGCTAAAATCTAGAACACTGACAACAACAAATGGTGGCAAGGAGAGGGAACAACAGGAACTCTCATTCATTGCTGCTAGAAATGCAAAATATTATAGCTACTTTGGAATAGAGTTTAGCAGTTTCTCATGACTGCTATCATATTCTTACCATGAAACTCAGTAATTACACTCAATGGCCTTTACTCAAATAAGTTTAAAAAGTGTGTCCACCCAAACACCTATACACAAATGCTTACAATAGTTTTATGCATAATTGCCCAAAGGTGGAAGCAACCAAAATATCCTTCAGTAGGTAAATAGGTATATATATTGTGGTACATTCATACAATGAAATATTATTCAACACTAAAAAGAAATGAACTATTAAGCCATGAAAACACACAGAAAAACCTTAAATGCATATTACTAAATGAAAAGGCTATATGATTCCAACCATATGACATTCTGGAAAAGGCAAAACTATAGAGACAATAAAAACATCAGTGGTTATTAAGGGCTGGGGGAGCAAAAGATGAACAGGTGAAGCATGGAGGATTTTTAAGGCAGTAAAACCATTCTGTATGATATTGTAATGATGGATACATGTCATTATACATTTGTCAAAACTCATAGAATGTACAACATCAAGAGTGACTTTGGGCTCGGCGCCTGTGGCTCAACCGGCTAAGGCGCCAGCCACGTACACCTGAGGTGGCGGGTTCGAATCCCCAGCCCGGACCCGCCAAAACAACAATGACGGCTGCAACCAAAAAATAGCCGGGCGTTGTGGCGGGCGCCTGTGGTCCCAGCTACTTGGGAGGCGGAGGCAGGAGACTCGCTTGAGCCCAGGAGTTGGAGGTTGCTGTGAGCATGATGCCATGGCACTCTACCCAGGGGGACAGCTTGAGGCTCCGTCTCAAAAAAAAAAAAAAAAAAAAAAAAAAGAGTGACTTTGGCCAGGCGTGGTGGCTCACGTCTGTAATCCTAGCACTCTGGGAGGCCAAGGCAGGTAGATAGCTTGAGCTCATGAGTTCAAGACCAGCCTGAGCCAAAGCAAGACCCCCATCCCTACTAAAAATAGAAAAGCTGAGGCAAGAGGAATGCTTGAGCCCAAGAATTGGAGATTGCTGAGAGCTATGACACCACAGCACTCTACCCAAGGCAACAGCATGAGACTCTGCATCAAAATAAAAAAAAAAAAGTGAATCTCAATGTACACTATGGACTTTGGTGATAAAAATATGTAGGTACATTGATTGCAACAAACACACCACTCTACTGTGGGGTGTTGAAAAAGAAAGTCTATTAAATTAAAGAAATACCTTATTTGCTTTCCTGCCTCAGAAATAATAAAATTAACTTTTCTACATTAAAAAAAATGTTAACTAAATGATTATTTAAAATGTTCATGTTTTTCTCTTATAGGAAAATTTTTTAAATATGACACTAGGGCTATTCTTCTACTAATTCATGTGTGAAAGAATTATATACCCCATTGTTTGGTAAAAAGATTAGGAAAATTAAACTACAAACTGGAAAACTCCTTCCTTTACGTGAGGAAGGAGTTGTCAATAACAGACCAAAGTTTAATATGAATAACTAGCAAATGTCTTGTGGGAAAAAAAAACAAAACTATTTTTCAAATGAATCAATATCTATTATGGTTTTTGTGAACTATATAAATATATATGTAGATAACAATCCACCCTTTTCAATGTTCTCTGTCTTCATATCATTTCTGTCATAATCAGAAATACTCCCTTCAAGGGTCTGTTGTCAGACTAAATTTTCACTGCTTCAAAGAAGGGTTTGTGGTTAACTATAATCACTTACAAAGTTCTAACCCTCTACTTTTTTCCCGGAAAGTCTAGAAGGTTCCATCTTAGAGAACAACATACTATCTTTTCTCACTATCACACTCAAGGACGTATACCCCTGTGCATTTAATTCCTTTCCAGTCTTTCCAAAGCCAAATTAAGCGATAAGTCAGGGCACAATGAAAATCTTCCCTCCTCTAGTGAAAATCCACTATGGACAAAATTTCAGAATGAAACATCACTGCCTTTCATATGAAGTCCTCATTCTGCTACTAAATCCCCACAAGTATTTGAATAAGCTGTGCAAATACATTACGATTTTCTCATTGACCATACTCTAGAACAGTGGTTCTCAACCTTCCTAATGCCGCAGCCTTTTAATACAGTTCCTGTGGGTCAAGACTCACAGTTGAGAACCACTGCTCAGGAACTGTTGTGAAGAATAACAAAATTTAAAAAAAAAAAATCTACAATCACACCTAGTCATCATCATGATGAATCCAGGAGATCCTTACTGTTATTCACTGGCTCTACCTTTATTGGCCCTGATCCCCAACTCCAGGTACTTACAAAAGCACAAACAGGACAGCAAAAGGAACACACAACTTGATGAACATCTACCATAGTCCAAGTGCTGGGTGCAAGCAGATAGTGTTTAAATCCCCATCTCACAGGTGAGGAGGCTGAAGCTCTAAGAATGAAATCGTTTTCCCAATATCACACAGATGGTAAATATCAGGGCTAGAACTTGACCCAGATCTCCATTCTTTTTCTCCATTGCTTTTCGTCGTTGTGCTGCATGTCCTTCTGAGCATCAGACAGGAGGAAAAACAGAACGTAGCAATACTAATGGAATCTATCTGAGAAGATGTTCACCTCACCTTTCTCTATGCCTAAAGGTGTGATGAGTACCAGCAATCAATATCGGAAAACTCACAAGAGCAAGTTCCTAGCATAAGATGTAGACAATCTCCTCATTGGTTGGTCTCACAAAGTTCTGGGGGATCTAAAGGGATATGGGAATTAGATGTTGAACCTGGAGTTGGCACTTAGAATCTGGGCGTGCAATGAGAAGCTCAGGACAGGGAGACCCTTACTCTCTAGCTCTCCTCTGTATTTGCTATCCCACCCTGCATGGACAGGGAGAGAGTGAGATGTGTCCTCAATTCTCTACTGAATACTTATACTCCAAGACATCTAGAACTTAAATCACCTTCTTTCCCCTTCTGCTCCTATTCTCTAATTTACCATGTATCTCATGCATGTAAGCAAATACCATTACCCATCAGTCCCACCCATCTCCCAAACCCCAACTCTGGAAGGAGCTCTGGACTGCTCCCACTCCTTTCCCAAATATCCAATTGGTTTCTCAATCCTGTCCATTCCCTCTTCTTAACATCTTTCCAGTTTCCATCTCCTCTTCGTTCCCATTGCCACTGACGTGGTTCACGTTCAAAAACTTCCTGGGGCAAATTACTGTAGAAGTCTCTCCTGTCACAGTCCCTGTTCCTGATCTCATGTGCCCCACCCTCCCTCAATCTGGCCTTCACACAGCTAACAAATGGCATTCCATAATCCAGATATAATGGAATCGTGTCGTGGGCATCTAAGCCCATAAAATATCCTCAAGAGTCCCTAATATCACCACTGCTTTTAATTAGCATGTTCTGTTAGTACTTGCCCATTTTTAAAATTCTTCAAAAGCCACTAAAACACTCAGCATGTCAGATTCCACACCTGTGCTGGCCTTTCCAGATGTGCTTCTCACCTCTAATTCACGGTCTGTGTTCCACGTCTCCTGGACTATTTTGAGTATTTCCCTGAAGGCGAAATTCTGCACTTGTCACCATGTATGTCTGCATCTCCTCCCACCTTCAACCCCTGTGCAACCTTTAGAACTCAGCCCAAGTATCACCCTTGGAAGGCCTTTCCCTTCAAAACCAGAACAAATTACCACTTCACACCCATTAGAATGGCCTTTGGAAAAAATACAGCAAGCACTGGCGAGGATGTGGAGAAACTGGAACTTTTGTGCACTGTTGATGGGAATGTACATGGTGTAGCCACTACAGAGGTTCCTCAAAACATCAAACATAGAATTAATATCCCATAAATATGTACAATTACTATATTTCAATTAAAATTATTTCTAAAAATAGATTTCCCAACTGTGGCATTAATTCCGCTTTTGGATACTGAAAAGAATTGAAAGCAGACATGCAAACAGATCTAGGCACACCCATGGACACAGCAGCATCATTAACCATAGCCAAAAGGTAGAAGGAAACCAAGTGCTCAACAACGGATGAGAGGATAGACAAAATGGGGCATGTATGTGCATGCGACGGAATAGTACTCAACCTCAAAAAGGAAGAAAATACTGTTCCATGCTACAACATGGATGAACCTTGCAAACATCATGCTAACTGAAATAAGCCAGTCAGAAAAGCACAAAGATCAGGATTTCCTTTATATGAGATATGCAGAGAAAGTTAAGTATCACATTGCTTTACAACTTCCCAAAATAAGTCTGTCCCCTCTATTAGACTCCGAGAAACTTGAAGGAGAGATCTGTGCCTAAAACAAAGAGCAGTAGGTCTCACAGGGTCTGTTTTTCCATCTTATCTGGTGGAAAGTGAGGGGTGAAGACCACAGAATGTTTCCTCTTACCTAAATCCTTTTGGAGGGGGGAAAGGGCATTCCAAATCTAGTATGAAGAGGAAACAAATGGCCCCCTGATCCCTTAACACCCTCCCCGCCCCAATACAGCTTCCTTCTCCCCTTTCTGCTGTCCTTTCCCTGAGACACCTGTTGCTCCACAGCAGTTAGTTCACTCCCAAGTTGGTTGTATCTTCTCTTATGGTCTCTAATGTCCTCAAGGCCTCCCATTTTCTTCCCCTATCCAAATTATTCAGACACACACACCAACACATTTTTTAAACAAAAATAAACTACTAACCATGAAGACATTAATTCACTCACTTGACCACCTTCCATAGAACAAAAGAATTTGTTGAAGATTCAAAAATGCCCTTGATTTTTTTTTATAGTCTGGACTTTCCTCTGCTAACAATCGATCAGTTGTGATGTAGGGGTAAGATTCAGGGGGAAATAAGAGACCCGGTTCCTTCGCTCTGGCCCTATGCTTAGCCATAGAAAGCGTTAAGGAAAACCTTCACATTTGTACTAATCAATATCCTATTTGTGTAATTAACTTTTTCATAATGTCCTCACAGTGAATTTTCAGAACACAAAGCTAATCCTATCCCCAACGGAAATCTCCTCAACAGCTCTCTTTGCCTAGAAGATTCCACATACACCCCTTCACTTGTCAACTAAATTTCTCCAGAATTAGTCCCCTATCCTCCCCTCTGGCCTTACCTCTCCCTCATCCTGTTCACACCTATGCTCCAACAACAGAGAGCCCCTTTCTTTCCTCTGAGCACAGCCTATTTCCTTAAAGCAGACTGCCCTTGTTTCTTCCATTCCTGCTGATCTGACTCCCATTCCTGTCCCATCTTTAGTCATGTATTTCTCAATCTCAGAACTCTAGGCATTTTGAATGGAAAACTTCTTTATTGTAAGGAGGCCGTCACATGCACTGTACAATGTTTACAGCATCCCTGGTCTTTACCTACTAGATGCCCATAGCATCTGTCTTCCTTCTGTTTTAATAATTGAAATATCTGCAGATCATAACATATGCCTCTTGGGGGCCCAGGTTGCCCCCTGTTAAGAACTATTGCTCTAACTCCAAGTAGAAGACTAGCTTCTAAGAGAAGCATGACATAACTTCCCCTCTGAATATGCAGCACAGACCATTCTCTACTTAGAGAACCTTGTATTATATATTACCCTACTGCACCGTAGTAACCCATGTTTCTGTTTGACTCCTGGTAGTCAGCATGAAGTCTTCTCATTCAAGGCTGAACTCTTGCATGATTACCTAGCATACTGCCTAACTTAGAATACGCACTCCACAAATGCATGCAGAACAAATATAAAGAAATGATACAGACGTGAGGGTTCCAAATTTCTAGATAAATATTCTGGCCAGAAAATAATACACTTCAACATTAAGAAGAATAATGAGACATCGTAAGCCATTTAGGAGTCTGAGTTGAAACTATAATGAAAATTAATGTGAGGACCATCACTTTCAAAGCACAACTGTTGCAATAATACCCATTTCTTCTTTCAGGGATGTTCATAAACATTGAGCTGAGCTGGTCTGTTATGCACTTCTTGGCAGTCCTATAGTAGAACTGCTCAGTGATGGGAGATGTTAATTAATTACACCATAAAATAGAATTACAATTAATTGTTAATTTAGGTTTTAAAGTGACAAACTTTAAAGGCTAAAAATAGTCTTTGATCTTTAAAAGGCTTCTTAATGAGGGCAATATACTTTAAGTACATCATTAGTTTAAATGTTCAAATTGGGTCTAGAGACTGCTAGAGTTAAGCAAATATCTATTCCAATATGTTAAATGTTTATGACTCGGTACAGGGACAATTAATTGCTAATCAATGAGCCAAATCCTAGGTGAGGTCAGGTTCTGAAATAGGAGGATGACAATAGCAAATTGGATTTAAAGCATTTTGATGTGATCTGTAAAAATCACAGACAAGTAGAGACTAAAAGAATAGCAAGAAGGCCAACCCAGCAGAAACACCGAGATAATTAAGATATTACTCATTTGGTTAATAGCGGTTTTCAAGGGTGCCCTTTGTTTAGATTAATGAGCCATAATTTTTAGAATTATACTTACACGTCTGTAGTTCAGTTACTTAAACATATAATTCAGGATATAAAACAGTAAAACTCAGCAGCGCTTAAAGGGTGATAACACTTAGTTGGTAGCTAAGAGTAGCAATATTCATAATGTAATTTTTAAATATGGTCTTGATCCATCCTATAGTACTGTATTTTCTCAAAATTCAAAAGTAAAACCAATGTATTACTTTCGTAAGCATCTTTTTAACAATCACACAAAACTTTCACTCTTCACTGCAGGTGGAAGAAGCAAATTGTGCTTATTTCGTGAATGTTGTCTGTCTCAGTATCACTAGTTTTCACTCACCTTTAGCTCAGGTGAGAGATTCCAGAGACAGAGCTGACCCTCTTGACTGCCAGTCACAATCATTTGCTGGTCATCGGTGATCATGATGGCAGTGATGCTGTGGGGAGGGGCCTTCTTTCCCCAAAGTGCCACTGCCTGCAGAGAAGGCCTCATGCTGGGTGAATCCTGGACACACAGAAAAGGCAAGAAGTATACATGGTCACCCTTCCTAAATCTGGGGAAACTGATAATATTACAAAGTAGATTTACAAGGATACGAACTTTAATGATAGATTCTTTCGCGGCTATGGAAATCAGGGCTTCCCCAGGAATTAGAGGAGACAGTAGTCTTCAGACATCATAATTACTGTGCCCACTGCTAATTTATCAAAGAAGAATGACTTCTCTTCCAATTCCTGATTATTCATGCTGATAAAAAGAAGGATAGTGATAATCTATCTACTTCACACCCACTTCATCCTATGGCTTGATGCCAACCTGCTGCTCCAAAGCCCTACTAGGCCTCTCAAGAAGAATAGTTCTAGCCACATAGTATAATTTGAAGAAAGCTGTGCAGGGCATCTCCAAGATATCACTTCATCTAGGTAACAAATACCAGAAATTAATGAATTTGCTAGTAAAAAGTAAATCTCTTCCATAAAAAAAATACTAACTAGTCCTCAAAGACCATGTATGACTGTCATGATTTCTGCCATGTGCTATTTTTAATACTAACTTTTATTTTTACCATTTTCACATTTGGCATCTTCCTAAATAATAATATTCATGAAATCACTAACTTCATATGTTAGTCACAAGGGTTAAAATGAGTACATAATTTATTCAAGAAATGTTGCCTGTGACCACCCAAAATATCACCCAGTGATGTGTCCACTACATTTTGTGAAATGTTCAATTAAATATTCTCCCCAAGTAGACATTCATTTCAAAAACATAAATATTCTCCCCAAGTAGACATTCATTTCAGAAACATAAACAACTTAATAGTACATATTTAATTTCATTTAAAATGTCAAAGATAGTAAAAAGAAAGTATCAAGGATGCTTCCCACATTTGCTTTGAGAAAGCCAAGGAAATGAAAACCTTCTGTCCTATAGGGGTTTTGGTAATGAAGTATCAAAATAGTAAGTGCCAATGTAAATCAAAGAAATGGATGGTATGTGTTATAATGTTCAATTATACATATTTACACACAGTCAACTCTATGAACTTGGGTGGGCATGGCATCATGAATATATATTTTACTTGCAGTTCCATTGCTTAGAATTTAGACTGGTTTCTCATGGTTCACTCTTAGGCTGGTATTTAGGTCCAACTGGTCTATAATGCACTTGTATTATTCTCACTTGCATATCCAAATACTATGAAAGCAAGATTTCTTTAAAAAATACTCTGAGCATTGCAATTCTGAATACAAGTTTTCTACATATTAATTTTATTACTAAGCTAACCAGAAAGTTTCTGCTCTAATAGCTCTATAACCTGAACTTAGACCTCTACTGCTTCAAACACAGAGAAATAATGTATTATATGTATTTTTAAAATTGTTATTTTATGACCAAGTTTATAAATAAGTCTAGTAAATCCTAAGGAGTAAAAAGCTAAGAAGAATCTGAAAACCAGTACAAAAACTACTGGAGCTGAGTCAGTATATGGCTCATTTGGCTAGGAGTTTAAGTGTTAATCCCTACATAAAGACAGGGGATAAGGGGAATCAGAAACTTCACCACTGCCTCAGGAAGGTAAGATAGCTTATTTTCAAATAGCCCAGGAAAAATGTGCCAAGGCTAAATCACAAATGAGTTTGAAGAAAATGAAATTGTTATATACATATGACACCAAAATCCTCATGTGAAGAAATCCATGTAAAAAAATCATTCCCAGGTCAATAATACTATTGGGAGGGGGGAGTTGTGAAAAACATTGGAATGCATACATTGATCACAGGAGCGTACATGGGAAAACAAGTCAGCAAAACGCAAGTGATTGGGGACAGGGAGAAGGGAGAAGGAAGACTTAGATTACAACAGAGAATAAGAAAACTTTTGAAGGTGGTATATAAGTTCATGATTTTATTTGTGGTAATAGTTTCTTGAGTGTATTCATGTCAAAACTCATGTTATACTTCATATACATGTGTGTATACACACAAGTATTCTGTATGCCACATATACTTTCATAATGTTTTTTTTTTCTTTCTTTCTTTTTTTTAAGTATTCTGGAAGACGCTCTCTCAATCAACACTAACAGGGATTTCCAAAAGAAACAAATAACCCCAGTGGCAATAAGCTCACAATCAAAAATTACAAAGCACTCAGAAAAATAATAGTCCAGGAACAAATACAGGGATTAGTGTCTCAGGAACTAAAAATAATAGAACCATCTAAAACATGTTATAGAAGAAGAAAAAATATATTAAATAATTATAAATTATTTAAAAGATTAAAGAAGAAATTAAAAAGGCATCTTATAAAGAACAAGTTCAGTAAAGTTACAGGATACAAATCAACATACAAAAATTAGTGGCATTTCTACATGCCAAAAGTAAACAATCTGAGAAAGAAACCAAGAGAGTAATCCCATTTACAATAACTACAAATAAAATAAAATGCCTAGAAATAAACTTAACCAAGAAGTGAAAGATCCGTATGATTAAAACTATAAAGAAAGTTAAAAGAAACTAACGAGGCCACAAAAACAAAGAAAGAAAAAGAAAAGAGGAAGAAAAGAAACTATATTCCATGCTCAAGGATTGGAAGAAGAAATATTTTTAAAATGTCTATAGTACCCAAAGCATCTATAGATTCAGTTCAATCCCCATCACAATACCAATGGCATTCCTCACGGAAATAGAAAAAAATCTTAAAATTAATAGGAAACCACAAAAGACCGAGAGTAGGCAAATCTATCTTGAGCAAAAAGAACAAAACTGGAGGAATCACATTACCTGACTTCAAATTATACTACAGAGCTGTAGTAACCAAATCAGCATTGTGCTGGCAGAAAAACAGATACACAGACCAATGGAACAGGATAGAGAACACAGAAATAAATCCACGTATCTATTAGGAACTTATTTATCTTCAGCAAAATGCTTAGGAATATACCATGGGAAAAGAACAGTCTCTTCAATCAATGGTTCTGGGAAAACTGGGTATCCATATGCAGAAAAATGAGATCCTTATCTCTCACCACACATAAAAACCAAATCAAGACAGATTAAAGACCTAAATCTAAGACCTGAAACTATGAAACTAAAGAAAACACTGGACACATACTGTAGAGTTTCTTCATTAATACCTCCAAAGCACAAACAACCAAAGCAAATTGAATAAATAGAATCATATCAAGCTAAGATCCTCTGAACAGCAAAGGAAACAATCAATACAGGGAAGAGACAACTTACAAAATGCAAGAAAGTATTTGCAAACTGCCCGTCTGACAAATGATTCGTAACTGGAACATACAAGGACCTCCATCAGCTCAATGGGGAAAAAAATCAAATAATCTGGTTAAAAAGCAAGCAAAGGATCTCAATAGACATTTCTTAAAAGCAAACATATAAATAGCTAATAATTCAGTTTTAAGAGCTCTGTAACCTGAACTTAGACCTCTACTGCTTCAAACACAGAGAAGGAATGGCATATGAAAAAACGCTCAACATCACTAGTTATCAGAAAAATGTAAATCAAAAGTATAATGAGCTATCTGGCCCCAGTGAAAATGGCTTTTATCAAAAAAAAAAAAAAAAACAGGCAACAATGGATGCTAGCAAAGAAGTGGAGGAAAGGGAACTCTCATACACTGCGGGTAGGAATGTAAATTATTGTAACTATGGCAGTTCTTCAATAAACTGAAAATAGTACTGATCATACCCAAAATAGTACTGGGACCCAGCAATCCCACTGGGGATTATATTTATATATTCAAAGGAGTGGAAATCAACATATTAAAAATTATCTGCACTCACATATTTATTGCAGCAGTATTCACAAAAGCCAAGATATGGAATCAACCTAAGTATCCATCAAAGAATGATGCATAAAGATGCTGTGGCATATATATACGATGGAATATTATTCAGCCCCATGCAAGAATGAAATCCTGCCATTTGCAACATAGATAGACCTGGAGAACCTGAGGTTAAGTGAAATATGCCAAGCACAGAAAGAATTTTGCTTAATGTTCTCAGTTACATGTGGGAGCTAAATATTAAAAACAGTTCATTTCACAGACACAGAAGATATAATGATGGCTACCAGAAGCTAGGAAGAGTAGCAGAGATCAGGGGATAGGGTGGGGATGGTTAATGGGTACAAAAATATAGATAGCTAGATAGAATGAACAATATTTAATAGCACAACAAAGTAACTATAATCAACTATAAGTTAGGGTATACTTGAAAATAACTAAAAGAATAAAATTAGAATGTTCCTAACACACAAAAAATAAATATCTGGGGTGATGGAAACCCTGATTACCCTGATTTTAATTCACATTGTATACCTGTATCAAAACATCACAGGTACCCTATAAAGTTATACACCTGTGGCCAGGTACACTGGCTCACGTCTGTAATCCCAGCACTCTGGGAGGCTGAGGTGGATGGATTTCTTGAGCTCAGGAGTTCGAGACCAGCCTGAGCAAGAACCCCATCTCCAAAAATAGCTGGGCGTTGTGGCAGGTGCCTATACCATGTTTCCCCGAAAATGAGACCTACCCAAAATATAAGCCCTAGCAGGATTTTCTATGCATTTGTTAACTATAAGCCCTACCCCGATAATAAGACCTAGTGATGGGTGTGGCCATGCATTTCAGGGCAGAGCAGTAAGGAAGACTGGAATACCTTTTATCTGCCAAAGCTCCTTTCTCCGAGCCGCTGGCACTTATGGATACGTGTGATAACCATGGTAGCAGGCACAAAGCAGGCATCCTATTGTGCATGTGCAAACAGCTAGGGGAAAGGAGTTCACGCATCACTAGCACCAGTCCCACCAACAAGGTCAGCTCCCCCTGTCAGGTTCCAGAAGAAGATGACTTAACTGTATTTGAATAAATGTAGATTGTTGTATTATACTTAAGAAAAATAAGACATCCCCTGAAAATAAGCCCTAGTGTGTCTTCTTGAGAAAAAATAAATATAAGACAGTGT